GGCATGGCTGCAGCTTTGCTCAAGACCTTATGTTCTGCTGAGCCCTTTCTGTAGGAGGTTCAGCTGAGGACCATGTAGGAATGGGGCTGGCAGCACTGAGGACTTGTCCACCAGCACCCGAAAGCACCATCACGGTCGGCCTGAAGCTTGGGGACCACATCAGGCAGCAGCTCCTGGGGAGCTGCAGAGACCTCCCTGGCTGCCCCCCCGGGTACCCCTCTTCTCCAGGTTGAGTGGCTCCTCCATGGTCTCCCCAGGTGCCTGCTGCTATGATTCTGCCCTAAAAAGAACCCAAACTGGGAGAAGCAGCACTTTTACTTTTTTTCTCCACCTGAGTCAGGCTTCCTCTGTGCAGCGAGCAGAGCTTGCAGGGCAGCGAGGGCACCCTCCATTCTCCTGGCATGGAAACCCATCACGGATGTCTCGCCCACCTGCCTTGAGCACACACAGGGACAAGGGAGACTTCTGTCCGTATGGAGGTGGCATGGGTGCGTTTGGGGCAAGGAGGGCATTGCGTTTATTATCGCTTTATCTTCACTCACTTGCTTAACTGCTTGTGATAGCATCTTTCTGAGAACTGAAATTTGGATGCTCAGCTCTAGCCTTAGCTGTTTCACCTTTTTAAAATAGCTGATGGACAAAGACGCTGGCCCCACCCTTCCTGCCTGCACTTGCAAAAGGCCCTGAGACCTTGAGAGAGATTGTCTCAGCTAGTTCCTTAAGCAGCTCTGGCTGCGTTTCTTCACCTCTTGCTCACTCGTGTAACTGCTCCAAGGCTATTTCATGGCTTCTTTCCTGGTTCCTTGTTAGAAGCACTATCCCAAATCTGATCCCCACCCCACTAACCTTGGGTGTAAGGGAAGATGCAAAAGCAGCACTATGAACATCCCTGCATTCTCCACTTCATTAGTTAATGACTCTTTCTTGGTGAGGCAATGGGCCAAACTTTTCCTTTTCATTCCTCTTCTTTTTAAGGCAGTTAAGCAAATGCCGAGCCTTTCACAGCCCTTGTTAGTCTTAACCCATTTTGTACCTTAGCTTTCCGATTTTGCCTCTGCAATTTAGTGACCTTGTCACTCTGCTCATGTCTTTTGTGTTTTCCCTTTCCTCGTGGCCTTCTTTTTTGACCAGTGGGATGCTGAAGAACTTCTCTGCAGTTGTATTTGCCTCCTCTGAAGCCTCTTCTCTTGCCTCTGCAAAGGATAACCAGCTGCCAAGATTTTAATACAACTCTCAGGTGTCCTGCTCAGCTCTTGTTGGGGTCATGAGCAGTCCCTCTCAGTTGAAGTCAGCTTTTTTTAACCCCTTTCTTCTTAAAATAACAGTATTGGTCATTTCATGCCACAGGAACATGAGAAGGGCTGTGCTGGGCCAGCCCAAGGGCCACCCAGCCTGGCTATATAGAATCATAGAATCATTTAAGTTGGAAAAGACCCTTAAGATCATTGAGTCCAACCATTACCCTAGAACTGCCAAGGCCACCACTAAACCACGTTCCTAAGCACCACATCTACAGGTCTTTTAAATACCTCCGGGGATGGCAACTCCACCACTTCCCTGGGCAGCCAGTTCCAGTGCTTGACAACCCTTTCAGTGAAGAATTTTTTCCTAATATCCAATCTAAACCTCCCCGGCACAACTTGAGGCTATTTCCTTTTGTCCTATTGCTTGTTACCTGGGAGAAGACACCGACCCCCACCTCACTACAACCTCCTTTCAGGTAGTTGTAGAGAGCAATAAGGTCTCCCCAGAGCCTCCTTTTCTCCAGGCTAAACAACCCCAGTTGCCTCAGCTGGTCATCATAAGACTTGTGCTCTAGACCCCTCACCAGCTTTGTTGCTCTTCTTTGGACACGGTCCAGCACCTCAGTGTCTTTCCTGTAGTGAGGGGCCCAAAACTGAACACAGTATTAGAGGTGCAGCCTCACCAGTGCCAAGTACAGGGGAATGATCCCTGCCCTAGTCCTGCTGGCCACACTATTTCTGATACAAGCCAGGATGCCATTGGCCTTCTTGGCTACACGGACACACTGCCGGCTCATATTCAGCCAGCTGTTGATGAAAAGGTGGCCAGCAGACCCCCCGCTGATCCCTTGTTGGACTTCTGCCCCACCCCAACCTCCCTGGCTGTCCCAGTGCCATGACAGGAGGGTGTGGGATGGCCACTCTCACATCCCACCCAAGCACAAGCAATCACTCTCCTTGCCACAAGGATAGGGTGGGAGTTGTGGCCGAGCGGTGCCTGCTCTAAGCCAAATCCCATGGGCCTCCAGGCACATAGGTTGGAAACGGCCCCCCAGGAGTGATAGGCAGTGAGGTGTTCCGGAGATCCTTCATCTTGCTTCCTTTCTGCAGCCAGGCGGAGGCCTGGGGCACACATTTCCTTCAAACCCCAGTTCCTCCTCCAGCTCCTTCAGGAGCTGCTGCTAGGGTTTTGGCTGCATTTTGTAACTGCCCGTTTAACTTAGGCCTTCCCTTTCCGAGATGGGGCATCCCTAGGGATCCTCCTCCACCTGCTCCTCCTTCATGGTTGCAGGTACCTGGGAGGAGGCTGGTGAGGATGTCCTGCAGTTTGGTGGAGCCTGGTTCTGCTCTGCATCCCTAGGCAGCATCCCCCAGCAACTTTGGTACCTCTATGAGCCTTCCCGGTTCAACACTTTGACATTCACATCCCACCCTCTTTTCCACTGGTTGCTCCCCCCAGATATTTGGGATTTTTTTCCCCAATTTTTCACTTTCTTTAGCCCTTGCCTATGTCTTCCTGGCCACACATGACCTGAGCTCTACCCCCAGGACACCAGGAGCTCCACCACCACTGCTTTGGGGATGTCTCCCATGGGCAGCTGCTCTGAAACTGGACTGAATGGGGAAACCAGAAAGTCTATTCCTGCAGGACTTCAGCCTTGGCTCCATCAGCAGTACAGAACTGGAAACACTGAAGGCAAAACCACCACCTTTTATTTTCTTTTGTTGTTCCTCCCCCCTCCCCCCCCCAAATTACAGGAAAGCTCTACATGCATGAAGACACCCGTCCGCTTCTGGTACAAAGTAGATCCACATAGATCAGTGCAGCAGCACCCACGTTGCACTTCTGCGAAGCAAGCGATGCTTTTCCATCCTTGCTCCTTGTGTTTTGAGCAAGTCAACCAAAGCAAGGTCAACCCATATCACAGCAGGTGCCTGCTCTGCGGAAAATCCAGAAAATTGCTCCAGGACTTTTCCAGCACCGAGAGGAGCTTCTCGTGGCCACCCCACCCAGCATGTCCAGCACTAAGGGGACCCCAAGTGCTTTATGGACCATGGTGGCCATTCAGTGCACACTGACATTGCTGAAACATGGAGAAAGTTGCTAGAGGTAACCAGAGACCATGAAAGGACTTGCTGAGGCTTGGCAGTGCTTGGGGCTGCAGGAAGGCCAGGGGGAAACTGGCTGGAAGAGCCCCGTCCTCACTGCGAGAGATGGCGTGGTGCGGCCATTTGGGGGTAAATAGGTGGCTTTGGTCGCCAAGATTGCACTTCTGTATGAGCAAACACCTAGTTTTCAGGGATGGTGACCCCGACAGGCATACAACAAGCTGCTCATCCCTCCCTTCTCCCTCATTTGCCTTCTCCCTCAGGGGAGACATCCACTCCTTCGTTGGCAGCACCGGCATCCCTGCCACTCTGCTTTTGTTGCGATGGTTTGATCTCAGTGTAAACGACATCAGAGGTGGCAGCTTTTGTCCCCTTCTTTTCAAACTTCAGGTTGACGTAGGTCAGGTCCTCAGTCCCTGTCACCGGGGCTGCCTGCAGGGGAGAGAGCAATGAGTAGACCCCTGGCTTTCCCTTCTGCATCTCCCCTGCTAATATTTTTCCACTGGCACAACTATTTGCACTGCCCAAGCATTATTCAGCTTGCTCAGAGGTGCCACCTATTCAGAAGCTTGTAATCTCCTATTTAATAGGAATTAGTAAGTGTTTAGGACCACGTTTTCAGAAAGCAAAGCTGATTTTACCTTGAAATCCTTTAAATGGGTATTCAACAGCCAGTGCTCTTTTTTACAGGGAGGAAATGATACGTGCGAAGCCCTCCCTGGCTTACCGTGCTGAGCTGATCCTCTTCTGCCACTTGCTTGCTTGTGAGCTTTCCTGAAAAAGGAAACATAGTTTAAAAAGTACTTAAAATAATTATAACAATCATTATTTTAAATGAAGAAAACATCTGTACTGGTCCTGCTTTTGTTGCAAGAGAGGATGGGGCTTTGTGGCTGGCTGGCTTTGAAGATGGCCAAGGGTCAGGAGGCGTTGGCAAGGATTTAAAAGCCTTTGGAGGGGCTGGAGAAGAGCTCTGAGCTGGACACTTCTGGAAATGTGGTGATGTGCACGACCTGTTTCACTTGCACCACAGCTTGTGCCATAAGTGGGCCCTCACCAGCAACTGGCCAGAGGGAAGGGAGGGGGTGAACCTTCTTCCCACCCTTGGACAGCTTGTCCAGGAGGACAGACTCATGCAGGGAACACCAAGCAAGCAGGAGCACTAGGATAATGAAGATGGACATCTCCCAAGCCTGGGCTTGTCCAGACCAGCAGGTAAGGAGGAGATGCCGACCAGCTCCCACAGGAGATGGGGGCTCGGCGAGGGCTCAGCCTTACCTTCTCTGTTCCTTCTGCACTGCCACAGCAGAATGCCAATTATTGGCATGTAAAGAAGCGTCCCGACCACTAAGCCAAAGATGCTGCACAGGAGGAATCCGAGTCCTGCACACACAACCATTACAGAGACACTCATGAGCTGCCATCCCACTGTGCAGGAATGCATGCTGCCATTACCTCTTTTGGGGGGGACAGTTCTTTTCCAAAGTTGGGCTTCCAGACCTCGAACCACCTGCAGCCCCCACAGCCCTGGGGTGCCAACAGAATCCTGTGGGGAACGGTCTCCAAAAATTCATCTGAACTCAGCCAGGGGGGTGGTCAGAGCATCAGAGCCCCTTCCCAGCATCACAGCCTCTGGTCCACTGGTGCCTACCCCAGTCTGGCAGCGGCTCCCACCCACTCATGGGAAAACATCAGGATGTGTTTCCCCCCTTGCTGCTCCTCTTTCTCCCCAAGGACCCCTCCTGCCCCCCAACCCTTGCAGACACAAGGCTGTGGGGACTTGCCTGTCCAGTTCTCCTTCTCGGTGTCATTGGACTGAGGTGTCCTAAGGCCACAGCCTGTAAGACAGAAACACAAGTGAGAGACTGCCCAGAAGCACAGGACACCCTGCTCCCCACTCTGCTTTGGGGCAGGGACCTGGACCCCACAGCCCCAGCTGTCCCGCTCCAGCCACCTCAGCATTCGGCTGACATGCCACAGCTGGAGGATGTGACAGGTCCTATTTCAAGGACCCGACGGCCAAGCAGCTCCATGGTGGTACGCATCTGCCAAAAGGGCTGTGCTGGGCCGGCTCCTCCAGTGCCTGGGATGCTGGGGGAAATGGTGCACGAGGGTACAGGGGGGAGCACTGGTCATAGCATTCTTCTCTGCCCGCTCATCACCCCCATGAAAACAGAAGCGGTGCCTCTTACTGGGAACTGTACCTTGTGTGTCGTTTACAGTGCCTGTCAAGTTTATTGTTGTGACGAGCACCGCACACCCACAGATTTTCATGTTGGCTGCATGCATGCCGGTGCTGGTGAGATTGGTACAGTCTTCTCCCAGAGCCGTGGTGCTGGTTTGACTCCCCACCTCCAGACCTGCACCTTTGTACCACGACTTCACATGTACCGTGTGATTCTCTAACAAAATCTGGAACATGCACTCCATAGTGATGACTGACTTTCCTGGCTGGCCGCCTGGAGGAAACAAAAATATAAGTGATAAGTGAAATATAAGTCATATATATGACCTTGCAGGGGTCATATTGCACTGGCATGTGTCGTTCATGAAAGACACAGTAAAGGAACTGTCCTTTCCTCCAGCAGCTCATGTTCTATCCCAAATCCGGCTGCTAAACGCTCCTCAACATTGAATGTTGAAATGCTGCATGTTGATTATTGCCACCCAACACTGTGCAGCACACAAGCATTTCTCTTTCTCGGGAAGGAAGGAAAATGGGAGGATCAGGGAGAAGACACCTCCTCCTCCTCCTCCAACCTAGGCAGAAGGGTCTTCCGGCACCCGAAAAGGACATGCCACTGAGGCCACAGGCTCAGGCTCCAGCATTTCATGGAGTGTGAGGTGGGACTGGGGGGCTAGCTGTGGGGAAATGGTCAGACCTAGAGAAGCAAAGAAAACATAGCAGACCCCCCGCAGCCTCTCTGGCTTCATCCCATCCCCTAATGTTCACTCTGGAGTAGTTCAGAATTGCTCCTGAACCTCTGAGCTGAAGTCACTTCACACCTTCTCAGCAGAGTCCTCCTTCTCTTCCCTCTCTCCTCTCCCTTCCTCAGTCCTTTTTTTCTGCTCCTGTGGGTGTTGGTGGGCTTGCATCTCTTACCACATTTTTTTGATTGGGAGCATTTGTTCCTGGACATGTTCCTCATGTTCTCCATCCTGCATGCATATGTTCCTGTATGTGCTTTGTTCACGTTGGTGAAGACAAGCTGGGCAGAACTGTTCTTCATCTCCACACCACCTTTGTTCTGCTTGTTTTGGGTGATATTAAACCACTTCACCTCCCCGGCGGTGCTGCTCAAGCCTGTCTGGAGGAGACACTGCAAGACGAGATCTAACCTTACTGACACATCGATCGTGGCTGAAAACAGGTAAGCATGTTCTGCTGAAAAAAAACAACAACCATGAAGGGTTGGGGGGTTGGGTTTGTGTTAAAGAATATCCATATATTCCATGTGAAGCTGACCCCCTTCGCAGTTGTCAGGCTTATAAGCACTTCTGTTTTCTTCCCCTCCCCAACTGTTTTCTCTCCCTGCTCCTGAAGGCAATGCTGGTTCAAAGCCCTGGAGCCTGAAATTGGGTCCCCATGGGCAAAGGCCACAGCCAGGGCACAGGCAATTGCAGGGGGGGACCCCATTTGCAAGGCACATTGCAAGGTGCTGGTGCAGAATGGCGGGGTTAAAAGCTGCAAGAGGAGAGGAAAAAAGCAGCAGCAGCCATGTCCCAAACCTCCTGCAGGCATATGCAAAGATGGAAGAGTTCAAAGCAGAGTTGAGGGCACAAGGGGACTCACCAGCAGGCAGCCAGGCGAGGAGCAGCAGGGGCAGAAAGCCACCAGCCAGCCGGACCTCCATGCTGCCTTCCCAACAGCCTCACAGCAATGATGCTGGGTGCCCGGCGGGATCGGCTGGGAAATTCCTGTCTCTCCCTGCAGCGTGAGGGTCACTGCTCAGCCAGAGCAAGCTGCAGCCCTGCCAGGAGCTCACCTCCTTGCTGCTCGCCCAGACAGTTCCCTCTGCACTCGCAGGCTTCCCCTCTCTTCCCCTTCTCTTGCTTCAGCCTGATATTTATCTCCTCTCTTCGCTGTGTGATTCCTCCTGCAGTTTCATCCCAGCCACGTGCCCTCAGCCCTGAGATGGACCCAAATAATGCAGCCGAGCACCACTGATAGTCATTTCCCAGTATTTTAGGTCACAGCCCAGTAGCTCCCTGTTGCTGGCGTGGGCAGGGGCAGGGGAAAAGGCTTCGCAATTTCCTACAGCGCTGCCTTCCCATGCCACCCGAGTCCTTTTTTGTTTTACACCAGGGAATAGACCCCTTGGAGAAAGCGATGCTGCTGTCACGGCAGGGTGATGGGGTGATGTCTGCCCCATCCGGTGTGCTAGCTGAGCTCAGGTGGGGATCCATATACCCTGCCAGCCCCCAAACACTGAGGATCACAGCAGTTTGACAGGGGGATGGGCTTGGTCAGAGCTTTCTGGTTGCTCACGCGTGGGATGTACAAGCCCCAGCCAGGCGGGCACCCCTGCAGTCCCCTGCCCCCTGCTCTGTCTGTGAGCACCCGGGTCCTGGCTCCTGCCCTGTGGGGATGGGGTGCTCCAGGCGGCCCCCCACATCCCCATGCCACGGCTGGAGGGATACCACGACAGGAACATCCACTGGGCCAGCCACATCTTGTATCACCCCTGCCACCAAAGGGATGTGGGCAGCAGAGCCAGCGGGTGCCGACCCCTGTGTCCCCAGCCTCCATGGGTACAATCTGCTGCTCCCCGCAGGCTGTCCGCTGCCTGCCACCGCTCTTCCTCTTTCGTGCTCAGAGCAAAACCTGCTCCCACCTGCTCTTTCTTCCCTTTCAGTTTCCTGTCAGCATTTCCAGTAATTACCCCCCAGCTCCATTTTGAAGCCGGTCCTGACATCCTCCCTTCTCCGAAGGCAGCACCCCCACATCCCCACATTACATGACCTCCCCCACCTCCTCCCATTTTCTCTGCCCCCTTCCTCCCATCCCTGTTTTCTCCCTGTTTCCCAAGATGATGGAGCCCAAACTGAGCATGCAGGATGGGGGCCCACCACCACAGCCCTCCCCAAAACAGAGTCTGGGGAGCAGTATCCTACTGGGACCATCTTCTATCACCAGTGAGCATGGTCCCAACACCACCTTCACCACAGCACAGGGAGCAGAAGAGGACAGCAAAGCCTGTCCCGCAGGGATGCTCCCAGGTCAAAGACTGAAGGAGGGTTGCAGAAACCAAGCGATGATGAGAATTTGGGAATGCTGGCATGTCCCTGGGCTGATCCTGTACCTCTGCACATAGCAGGTGTGGTCCCAAAGCCCCGTGGACATCTTTGCCACGGAGAGGGCAGAGTCCTAGACACTTGGCTTTGGCTGCACCTCTCCGCACCCCAGGTCTCCCTCGGACCCCCTGTGCTGGGCATGCACAGCCCAGCTGTGCACGTCTCCTGGGCTAAAGGATGTTCACTGGAACTCTTCTCCACCAGCCAGTGGAACCTCCTGGCTGAAGCACAGCTGAGCTCTCATCTGGGAACCAACCCACACGGGGAAACAGCAATATCAGCAGGATATTTGCTGACAAAAGCGTCATAAAACAAAATTCTTGTGGTACAAGAACCACAAGAATAACAAGCAAGAGGCTGTGTGTCTCTCTTGCTCTCCCCTCTGGACTTCTTCATCTCTTCCCATGCTCTTTCTGATGTTCAGTTCCTCTCTGCACTCAAGTCTTCCTCTTGCCTCATGACTGCACAATGACGCCTATTTGTTGCTTTCTTCCCTTTTATTTCTATTCTAGTTCTCATGTTCACTAGCACTGATGAAACTGATTGGACACAAGGTGAACTCCTTCACACTCTCCTCCCATCTTGGAGATGTTGGCACCAAGGATCCTGGAGCAGGCAATGCCTGCGGTCATCTTCCAAAGTCTCTGGTGTAGAAGATGGACAGGAGCCATCCTGCTCCATGAGTACTGCACATAAGTACAAGCCTTACCTAGATTGCCCTTAGCAAGTTGGAGTCTCTGCTCAATTAGGATAATTTTCTACATTCCAATTAGGAGGGGGGTGGAAACAGGAAGACAGTTAACAGAGGTCAGTAAGAACAAGTCAGTGACAGCAAAAACCATGAGCCCTTCTCTTTCCACGCACAACCTCCTCCTCTCTCATGGACCTGCATGCATCTCCGCAGGACCTTGGCTCAGCAAGACCTTCTCCAGTGGGCAGTGCCTTCCCAGTCTTGCCAACTGCGGTGCTGATGGAACTGCGGGTTAATATCTTGCCTACTACTGACCCTGCAGAGCTCCTCTCCTACCAGAGTGCCTTCCAGCTCCAGGCAACATTTCATGATGCTCTCTGCAAAGGAGAAAGGAGAGTAGGAAATTACAATGCTGTTAATAACACAGGGTGCCCCATATTGTCAGGCAGCTACACCACACATTAAGCAATATACAAAGGAAGACAGAGGCTGCAGAGTTTCTTAGCAGCTCCCTGCTCCCTTGCAGTGAACCAGAGAAATACAAAGGCGCTGTCATGGTTCAACCCCAATCAGCAGCTAAGCACCACACAGCCACTCACTCCCCACCCAGTGGGATGGGGGAGAGAATCGGGGAAAAAAAATGTAAAACTCGTGGGTCGAGATAAGAACAGTTTAGTAGAACAGAAAAGAAACTAATAATGATAGTAACAACAAAAATAAAATGACGATAATAATAACAGGATCGGAATATACAAAACAAGTGATGCACAATGCAATTGCTCACCACCCCCCGACTGGTGCCCAGTTAGTTCCTGAGCCCTCCCCAGGCCAGCTCCCCCCAGTTTATATACTGGGCATGATGTCACACGGTATGGAATACCCCTTTGGCCACTTTGGGTCAGCTGCCCTGGCTGCGTCCCCTCCCAACTTCTTGTGCCCCTCCAGCCTTCCTGCTGGCTGGGCATGAGAAGCTGAAAAATCCTTGACTTTAGACTAAACTTTACTTAGCAACAACTGAAAACATCAGTGTGTTACCAACATTATTCTCATACTGAACTCAAAAACATAGCACTATACCAGCTACTAGGAAGAAAATTAACTCTATCCCAGCTGAAACCAGGACAGGGGCTCAGTACCACCTGCCTGATGTCCTGCCACAGAAGTCTTCCTCTCCTGACTTCTGCAGCACTGTGCAGCCTGTTGGGAGCAGGCGAGGAGCCTCCTGTGCAATGCTGGGCGAGGAATGAGGAGCAGCGTGAGGAGAAGGGCTGTCCTCACAGGGAGCATGGTGGCCGTACAGGAGCTCTTCTCTGGATGTTGTGCTGCTCTGCCCTCCCCAGGGTCTCTGAAAGTGCACCTTCGGTTGCCGAGCAGAATCCTGCCCTCAGCCTGCCTGTAACAAGGAAGTTCCTTGAGCACGGGATACTCGCAGTGAGGCACGGATCCCCTCGGCCGAAGACCACTGCCAGGAACCCTCACTGCACAAGCCCGCCGGGCAGACGGAGGAGCTGACGGGGCTCAGAGGCACGTTGACCTGAAATCCAAGGGCCAGGACACCCCACCCGGAGCCCTCGCTGAGCTGAGCCGGGCCAGCACCAGCCTGCGGCACATCTCGGTGAAGCCATCAGCAGAAGCACGAGTGGAAAAGGCCCTGGGGTGCTGGTGGACACCAAGGTGACCCTGCGCTGCAAAGAGGACTCGGGGTGTCCTGGGCTGCCTTAGGCAGGGCATTGCCGGGGCGGGGCGGGGGGGTCCTGCCCCTGGAGGCCTGGCTCCGGTGCCGGGCGCCCCAGTCCAAAGGAGACGGGACGCACTGGGGAGCCCGCCGATGGGCAATGCAGAGGGACCGCAGCGTCCCTCCCAACGGAGGCCTCGGGCGGGCTCATCAAGGAGATGACGACGCGCCGCGCCGACCTCCTACTGGCTGCCGGCGCTGTCC